CAGCAAACAGGCTTCAAGAACTTTTCTGGCGAGCTTCAGCAAGTCGTAGGCCCTTGCGGCGTCCTTGCAGGCATTTTCGAAAGTTGTCAAGGCTCTGCTAAGCAGGGAAGAGGGGCTTCTCAAGGGCTCACCGAGACCTTTCCGATGAAGTTGCAGGAGTCGCAGTGGTGTTTTGTCGGGGATGTGGTTCTTTTTCGATAGTCTCGAAGCTGAAGGGGAGGTTGCAGAGAAGTTAGAGGAGTTGACAGTCTTACGGTTATTGGGATTAGAAGGAGGAGTAGCAATGGGTTCACCAGAAAACTCAATGGAATTCCATTGAGTTTGTGACGAACTGCTGAAGTGTAAAAACAGGGAGAAGGGAAATCTGCAGGGTCACAGGGAAGCTTTTTGAGGATTTTGGTGGTTTTTTCGATTTTCCAGGCTATCGAAAAGGGGAAAGAACAGGGTCAGACGGGGATTTTCGACAACCGGAGTGAGTTCCTGACAAGACTTGAAGTGTTGCAAGAGAGGCAAAAGGTCGTGAGAAGGTGGATCGTCGGCGAGGAGTGATGGTTGGGAAAATCGAAGAGGCGTGGGAGTTAATGCCTCTCAGGAATTGGAACAGTGGCAGTCGGGGCACCCTGAAGGCATGTGTGACATTAAGTCGCAGGCAGCGCTGCCTTCGCACGTCTTTAGGCCATGCACGGCAATAGCCACGCTCGGGGGGCATGCTGCTTACGCCGATAGTCTCGCACGTTGATAACTTGCATGTGGTAATGGTAGCACGCGGCATTGAGCTGCGCATGGCAGTGGTCACCTGTGGCGTTGAGTCATAAGTGGCAATGATCACACACGATATTCAGTTGCACGCAGTGATGACCATGGACAGTGATGCCTTGTGGGGGCCAAGAGTGATGGCAAATGAGAAGGCTCGGTCACTGTGGTCTGTTGGAAGCCAAGTCCTCTTGCACAACAGTGAAGTCCATGTTGTTTTGGAGGAAGGGAAGCCATCATGGGCCACTTCCTTAGAAGCGAGCCATGCCTCGTCAGATGAATCAAAGCTGACTCGAAAATGGTTGGGCTACTTCTTTTTGGCCTCTAACCATCCTCTTTGGTCGTTTTGCTTCTTCTTCATGAGGAGAGCATTTCTTTTTGGCCTGTAACCATACTTTTATCCTCGGATGCAAGAGTTTTGTAACCTCCCTAATAACGGGCTTTTGATTGTGGCTTGTAACTTTTTCTAATGCAATGAGAGAAATGAACTTCCTTTCAATTGGCTAAATGTTCCTCATCTTCAATTCTTTCCTTTTACCGCATGCACCGCATTTTAGGGATATGTCAAGAATAGTACTTCTTTAAGTATCTCCCATTGATAAGGGGCATCGCCTCTCCTCCATCCGAGTTTGCCAGTATATAGACCTCATTTGGTGTGACCTTTTTAATTATGAATGGACCTTCCCACTTATGTTCGAACTTTCCTTTACGGTGCCCATGCATGACAATCGGTCTCTTGACTGCTAAGACTAGATCTCCACGAGCGAATGAGCGAACCTTGACAGATTTGTCGAAGGCTCTCTTCATTCTCCCCTGATTGACCTCGAGGTTCTGTTGGGCCTCTAGTTTTTTCTCGTCAAGGGCATCCAACTCCTGATAACGGAGCTTGACCCTCTCATCTTCGGTTAGCCCCTGATGTATAGCGATACGGAGCAAAGGTATTTGTCTTTTCATTAAATATGTACATCGGATGGAGCTGAAAAACAATGAGGAAGATAGATTGTAAAGCCTTAGAAGGCTAAGTGGGAGATGTTAGAATTTTGTGGCCATTTAAAGGCCTTACGATAGCATGCAATGAAATTTTATAATAATGGAATAACAACTCCAATGGGAGCATGGTCCAGAGGGGCCGAAGTTAGTACTATCGATGCTAAGACTCAAACTAAGCTTGAAGAGCGAGGCTGAATTAAGTTCTAAAACCCTATAAGACTTGCGCATATTACACGACCTATAAAGGTTTGCAGGGTTATCTCTTGATGAGGTCGGAGAGATGCCAATGGTAGTTGGCCAAAGAACTTATTGAGCATAGTGTGTTATTGGTAGGCCTGAAGGGATAAGGGCCAAATCATCATCATTAATATTAAACGGTAATATATAGATGATAGCCATATTGAGAAGTAGACACCATTGAGGGTGTTACATGTACATGTACATGTACAAGAGATAGGCCCCATGCACCAATTGCAATTAGTGTGCACATGTCTGTATGAACTAGGCTTATCCCTAAGGGGAACTTGGAGACCATAGACTGGGATTGTGTTCTCATTGCCTATTGATTGGCTTTGGTAGTCCAATCATAAATTCTTGTGATGGATTATGGGTCATAAGAACTACTGGATCAGTTTGAGAAAGTAAGTGTCGAACAAAGTCACTAGCAGAGATAGAGTGCCTCAGTATTTTCATATTTTTCTTAACAAAGTTAAATCTGATTCCCATCAAATTAATTATTTTAAATGATTTTTAGAATATTAAAAAATATAAGTCCTTGGATATTTTTTATTTTATCAAAATTGATTTTTAAATTAGCTAAAATTGAATTTTCAAGTATTTAAAAATTCAGAGAGGAAAATAAAATACTTAAGTATTTTTAAAAATTATTTTCTTTCTTCTAAAAATAAATTAATATTGTGGAGCTCAAAACTCATTAGGGCCCACCACACTAGTCCCTATTTGATGGGGGCATGTGGCCCATTATGCTCTACATAAGTGGAACACCCCGCTTTTGCCTACTTTCTATAAGGTATAGCTTATTGTATAAGCGACCAAATTGATTTGAAAATAAAATGGAAAGGTCTATGAAAAGAGAATGATTGATTTTAAAAATAAAATGTTTAAGGAAAAATATAAAATATTTTTCTACATAAAATATTTGATAAAAATAGGTTATAGAAGCTGAGGGATAAGGTTTTAATACCTTCCATCAAATCATGATAAAATGGAAAGGTCTATGAAAAGAGAATGATTGATTTTCAAAATAGAATGTGTAGAGATTGGTTGAAATTAAAAGAAAAATTATAAAATATTTTCTCTACATAAAATATTTGATAGAAATAGGTTAAAGAAGCTGAGGGATAAGGTTTTAATACCTTCCATCAAATCATGATGGCTAATCTATAGATTATATGGCTAAGATCTCTCACACCACATGTCACTTATAATGAACAGTCTAGATTGAATCTCCGTAAGGATGGCTAAACCCCAAAATCCTAACCCTAGCCTCACTACTATAAATACATCAATGCACCATAATACACATAGCTTAGAGCTCTCTCTCTCTCTCTACTTCATAGGTGGCACACCACCCTCTTTCTCTCTCCCATACTCTCTAAATTAGAAAAAGAAAGAGGGGCACACCCCTAGGTCATCAAGCAAGAAAGGGACACACCCCAGATAGTTGAGGTGTAAAAGAGGCCCCATATTCCATGTGCATGCTCTCAAGTTCTAAATAAAAGGTTTTAGGCATGCTTCCCGTTTTGGTAAGAAGATCTCGTGTGCCATTGATGGAGGAAAAGAGGTATAAGGTGTACAAAGTCCATTACAAGTAATACTTTGACACACTATCTTGTTTTATGCTTTAATTCTTGTGCTTTTTTTTGTTCCCAATTTCCTTTAATGTAATTTTGCTTATGTAATGAAGAAGTCATGAAAAGTAACAGCAAGTGAAAATCTAATTTTTACTTTACCTATTTATTTGAGTTTTGATTGTAATTCTAAGACATATATAAGTGTTCTGGTCAATATCGTCAAAAAATATTTTAAACTACATAGACCGTGCTAGTTCACATTGTCCATTTTCACTAATACCAAGTGTTGGCCCCATTACAATAAAATCTTTTGGTTTTCGAAACATAAATAGAGTTATATTAGCATATAAACTATATTTCTACTCAAACCATGAAATTCGACAAACAATTGACATGCAAACTTTCTTTCGATATGAAAAGATAGTCCCCTGGGCTTGTAAATGTCATTAACACTCTTAAAATGATGCATTAGGATCACAATTTTGTCATAATTGAAACCCCAAATTGATTTGTGTGAACCCAAATAAAATTTTCAACAAGCATATACAAAACAAAAGTCCATTCAAATCAGTCCAACCAACTAAAATCGATGCCCTACACTTTTCTCCTTGTTCAAACAAACTTTTTCCCAACTTCAAGTAGTCTTTTAGATACAAAATATGAGTAAAGCTAACATAACTCACCAAAATCTTATAGAGACTTGCATGCCCTGTTTTGCTGCTTTTCTTGAGAGACTTATTGAGAAAGAGCTTGTCATGCATATAGAGGGAAGAAAAGCCTAGTGCACATAGAGGGAAGAGAAGCCTGGTGCAAAACAAATGTTAGGATATAATCTTGAGAGAGTGATGAATCAAGGAGCACAATGCTCTAATTTATCCCATAATACTATTGGGCTCTCAAAGAAATGAGAAGCACATCCCGATACCCAGCTCACATGGAAGTATAAGAGAGAGGGAGGTTTTAAAGATAGGTCATGCAAGGCGCCTTAACTCCTCTAAAACGCTTCCAATATATACTCACTTAAAGAAATAACAAAGAATACACTTGTAGAAAGAGAATGGCCAAGTGTTGCCTCTGAATGGCTACATGTTCAGAAAAAGAAAACAAAAGAAATTAAAATTGAGCTCACTAATTTTTGCAATATTTAATAAGCATCTTTTGTTTCTTCAACATAAAAACCATTATATCATAAGCAGGACCATGATTCCACTAACATGGAATCCAGTATCCTATGCATTAAGTACAAGTTTCAATGGCACATTTTTCAATTTATATACAATGGAGTGTGGATTTCTTCTTTTTTTTATGACCTACAAACTTTATAACTATCACAATTTTTTATATATTTGTATAGTTCACAACTTTACATGCCTTTTGGATTGTAACTTGTGTCTAGTTCCAAGGAAATGCAGCAAAAATTGGCAAGGATAGAGAAGACATAAATTGGGATGAGATATAGAGGATAGTTGTTTTGTAGTTCTATTGAGGAACGAGGTCACAAAAAATACAATAAACATCCTTAGGGCTAGGTCACAAAAAAAATGCTAAACTTCCTTAGGGTTAGGTCATTGAGTCCAATTCACCTACCGAAAGGCTTCTATTGCTTAATTGTGTTGAAGTCAACGGCTGGAAAGGGTTCCTTCACTGAAAGTGCAAGATTGCCTCTAAGAAATGCTTCCTCTACTCCTTTTTTGCACCAGTGCACCTACAATAAATGAGTTGGGAGAGTACATCCCTTGACGATGTTGAGAGGAAGATAGACCACAATATTCCCTAAAAAATTTGGACAGGATAGTAGTCCATAAAAGTCTCCAATGAATTTATTCTTCACTAGTTGACGAGAGCGCTAAAGGGGGAGAGAGACTGCCAAGGACACAGTTCACTTTGTGCCCAAGGATTTAATAGGTATTACATCACCATATTTGTTTTCTAGTCTCACTACTCATTTGTGAAATCTTGCTCCACTGACAACAAAAAGTCCATGAGATTTTCACTAACATGATTCTTATTTACATTGACACTTATTAAATAGAACTCGCTCCCATATTATAATACAATAAATAATAGAACTTTGGAAACCTTGATCCTAACATGCCGAATTGCGAACCCATCCGTAAGGGATCTGCTCCTTTGCAAATATGGAACTTGATCCCTACATTTGCCCATGCACGGAACTCATTCCCTCGACTGCAGAATGTTGTGGCTCCCTCACCCCGCTCTTCAGCTCCCGATCCAGGAGCTTTTTTAGTCCCCTCCATGGTAACTATGATCCAAACAGCAAAGGATTATAAAATTATAATACAAGTCCTGAACATATATGGTAACAGAAGATTAATACAAACTATTGGAACTTATCCACAGAAACGTGAATCCACTCTGGTCTGCTTTAAAAACTTATGCAGATTATTAGTATTTCAAAATCAAAATATGTTGCAGAGCAATAAATCAATTGCATAGAGCAATGGACCCTCACTTTTATATAACTTAAAGGATGTCATTCTTTCTTTCTTTTTCTTAGTTTGAAACAACAATTCAGGTTGATTGTGGAACAGTGTGTATTCATCATGCATTTGGTAGCCTGTAGATAAATTGTGATGGATAAAATGAGTGTTCATTTTTTTACGAAATTTGAAAGAGATCGGCCCTACAAATTTGAAGGAACAAAAGTATATCTAAAATTTAAAATCTTCATCTATTAGCTGTAACAACGTTTGCTTCAAAATAAGAGCTCATACCAGCCTAATAGAGCATATAAATATTCATTTGTTTAGATAAAGGTGCACATGTCAAGTTCAAGTTCCCTTGGAACCAAACCTCAAGTGAAATACTAGCACCACTACAATTGATTTTGAAAGAGCAGACGATACGACTCCTCATCAGCAATTACCGGTGGTATAACCCAAGTGCCCAAGGCATGACCTGATTTCTTTCCACCTGAACCAAAAGAATTTATGAAAAAGTCTAGAAGATACAATAAACCATCAAAAATAAAATAAAAAGTGAAAAATATAGAAACCAATGAAAATAATAAAGTTCAATTATCATGTGTAGGGGAATGAATCATTACGTCACCTTCACTAGTGGCTTCTTCACATCGCTTCTGATATTTTGAAGCAAGTTCCAGATCCAGTTTTTTCTTTAGATTTTCAAACTGATCTTCAGTTTCAGTGATATATTTTGCCTGAAATAACAGAATTGCAACTTACTGGAAATACTACAACATGTGCTTCCGTAAGAAGAACAAATCTAGTACAAGAGAAGTTTTCATTTCGAGTTAAAATTTGAGGTACATGAAAAATTACATTAAAGTTCTAGGGAAATGCTCATGGATTACAAATCTTTGTTTAAACTTAAATTGGCATTAAGGAAAAGCCAAGGCATGGAAAAGCTAGGGTGGGATGGCAAAGAGGTCTAAACTAAATTCTGTGAAACAAATATGATGATCACAAGCACCCAGCAACTAATAACATACATGGAAAATAAATAAATTTTCCATGAATCAGAATTATTGTTTGGGTGGATAGCTGAACAAAACACCTCTTCCTAAATTACAAGGAAAGATTTCAATTAATAGGATCCTAGTTCTTGCTACCTTTCATATTTCTTCTTGAGCTCTAGTATGTATTTCCTTGACTGGGTATGTTAGTTCTTCAAACCTAAAGCTCATGGATGGGATGAAAAGTTCTCTTAACATAATTCAATGTCTTTCCATATGAGTAGGAATCTGTAAGGGCATTCTATGAGCAGGTTTGAGACTATCAATAAGGGGAATATAAAATAATATCTGGATAGATCATACTAATATCAAATAAGATGCCTCAAAAAGTGCTGAGCATTCTAGCATGGAGGAGCTGATGCATGTTGCACAATATATTTCAGCAAAAGGAGACAGAAGAATCCTTGGTTCATAGGGACCAAAGGAAAATCAATAGAGCACAACTAATAGAGATTCAGTGGAGTTATGACCATGCAAGAGCCCGTTATCAAAAAAAAGATATGACCATGCAAGCATAGTGTCACATAACAAAGCCTTCATGTGTTATGTGTAATAGTGTTTTAATGGCTCCATGCTGATGTTTTCCTTGAGATGCTAAACATTTGAGCCACCTATGACGTTTGAGCTGCTTAATACATGGCCTCATGCCAAATTATTATTGGGAAAAGCTTTCACAACTTCCACAGAAAATCAAAGGTATGGGTTGGCCTGGTTCACTCATAAACCTAAAACCCATCAAATGGTGAAACACCATGTCTAGTTTTTTAATTGAAAAAAAAATTGTCAACTTGTGGGATAATCTCCAAATTCAAATACCTTGCATATCGTGGATAAAAGCCCATATCACGAGTTCGTGAATAGATGGGTTCAAATGCCTTTATCTACCCCAGCCCCAGCCTTGATGCCTCATTTCACTTCAATCTAAATGTGTCCACATTTTCCAAATTAATGATTTTTAAAAGGCTCACCTGGTATATTAAGTTCACTACATATCCAACTTAGAATGGCACCCTTAAGATTTGAACTAAATGAAATATAATTGGTGATCTGGTCATTTTCTGAATAGCACATTCAAGAAATACATGTAAAAGAGTGAATAACTTCCTCGGCTAAAATGGAAATCTGCAATTTCTTTTAGTCATAAAGGAACCTTGGAACTACATAAAGGGATATCTTGCAATTCTTTAATATTTTATAATATTTTATTTACGATGTGTAACATGTAGGAATAAAAGAAAGCTCATCAACTTTTATGCATGTAATTGGACAATTGCCTCATTTTTCTAACAAGTAGTCACCACAATGGCATGTCCATACACATCTGGTCACCACTTTGACACATCTATACACTTGTGATCACCCGCAACTACAGCCTTTTTTAATAAAATCGCCACGTAGTAGATCAAGAATACCCAAAGTGACATCCTGTTACTTTTCTAGTATACCTAATATGGTACCAGAGTGAATATTAGATGCGGGAAGGAAAGGCAGGAAAATAAATCTACCATTTTCCTGAATTTTAAACAAGAAAAATCCGCAATAATGAAGAAAGAACATGGACGTAAATTAAGCCAAAAGAATAACTTTCTCCTTTCATCAAATAAAACTCATTCTAATGATATAAGCCTCCCAAAATGTGACATCCAACCATTTATAAGCCTCCCAAAATGTGACATCCAACCATTTTATAAGCCTATAAAACCCTAAAATTAACTTGAGATCCAAATAAACATTTCAGACTCTAAACTACCACTAAACAGTACTAAAACTCCAGAAATACCCCTGTAAATAGTAACACTTGAACAATAACATGAACAATACAAGTCATAGAAAATATAAACCCCTAGAATCCCTAAAAAACTTAAAAACCCTAAAAATAAATCCTCAAATTAAAATTAAAAATATACATCTCTTGAAATTAGATAATAATTAAAAAATAATTTTGTCCTGCATCATTCTCCCCTGGTTGGAGAAAAATCGCCCTCGAGTTTGAAGTGTGCTAAGATGAATTCAGCATCAAAACCACCTTCTTCAACCTTCTTCTTTATTAGCTCAAATATTATTTGCAGTAAAAAGAATTCATTAAGAAACGGATCCTAATATATATATTGAGGAATCGATGCAAATTTATCCAATTCGGCTATTATTGAACTTCCATTGAAAATCGTGGAGGAAACTTCAAACCCAGTTTTCTGTCCTTTAGAGGCATTTCGATATTTATTTCATTCAGGGCCACAAGTTGCGATTTATGACTCAACCACACTTACATTGTGCTACTCTGATTCCAATGTCCTAAATCTCTGAATGCTCAACGTCTTGGATATCCTTGAGATCTTCAAAGACCATGGTTTTGAGCAAATCCCCCTGCTGCCTTCTGTACATATTATTCTCAAGCAAGATCATCTTTTATCTTAATCCTTATTATAGATATGTTCTCCAAATTCTTCAACTTCATGCAATAGTTCATCAAAAATAGGATCACCATCAAAGAGATCCCCCCGTTCTTTATTAAAAATAGGATTACTATCAAAGATAAGAGCACTGCCAAAGATAGGACAATCTATTGATTCAAAGAATATTGAATCCAATTGATGATTCGATCCATTTTGTTCTTCTTCAAAATTATGCTCCCATCGATACCATTGCATTGAACCCATCTATGTAGTTTGATATGCCATCAATATCTCTGATTCGCGCCATTCTCCATAAAAACCCTCATGATTTAGATTTATCCCCATAGATTCCTCTTTATTTAGGGGAGGCTGTTGCTACTCTCGCTTGCACAACAATAGCTCTGTAACCCTCTATATTTAACTTGTTGCTTTCCTTGTGCAGTTGGATCAGATCCGCATCCCTACAGCTAAGACCTTCACGACCAGCCATCGCAATCTCTAACCGTCTTCAAACATTCTCTAATACCACTTGATGCAAGAAGGAAAGGTGGGAAAATAAATCAACCCTTTTCATGAACCTTAAACAAGTAAAACTATGCAGAAAGAATATGGATGTAAATCAAGCCAAGAAAAGAACTTTCTTCTTTCATAAAATAAAATTCATTCCAATAACATAAGATTCCCAAAATGTGACATTCAAACTTCTATAAGCCTATGAAATCCTAAAATTAACTTGAAATCCAAGTAAACATTTAAAGACTCTAAACTACCTCTAAATAATACTAAAATTCTACTCCTGTAAATAGAAATGTGTTTGTGTGAATAGTACCCATGAACAATAAAATGAACAGTACCCATGAACAGTAAATAAATAAATAAAAACCTAGCATCCCTAGACAACTTAAAAACCCAAAAAAATAAATATTAAAACTAAAATTAAAATGTACATCTCTTGAAATTAAACAAAGATAAAAATTAAAATAATTTTGTCCTGCATCAAATATGATCCCCAATAAACAGAGGTAATGCTTTAGCTAGTACAAAGGTGCATCCCATGATTCCTTTGTCTATCAATAACTGCTTGCTTACCTCTTGGATTAGGGAGCTAAAAAGCTTTTATTTTCCCCTTTGAGGGCTTTGAAAGCTCAAAGAGGCAAGGAGGGCCGGAGTGTAAGCTTATGGTTGTGACACATGGTTATGGTGATATCTGGTCAACATGGTACCATTTGTCGATATACATGTCTTTTACTAGGGATTGAAGGCTGTTATGGTGGGTTAGGGAACTCAGGCGCAAATTTACCTTCAAAGAAAGCTAGGTCATGTAAGGGTTGGGGCTTTTAGGAGACTTAGTGTGCTCTACCATGAGACCTATGTTTGATACAGCATGTCCAACCGGCTTACCTTTGGATTTGATCTTCACCATGCTCATACACTCATCTTCAATCTTTGAAGGCAAAAAGAAGGCATGTGTAAAATTAAAGAAACTACTAGTGGTATCAGATGGCTGATGGCATATGAATTGTTTCAACTTGCAATTAAGAAATGAAGTTTCTTCGCTGCATATCTCATCTTGTTCTTGGAAGAAAGAGAAATGAAATTAAGAAAAATTTTGATTGGTAATTGCTGTCTAGATCAGAAAATTGGCAATCTCTATCTAAAGGTAAGTTCCAAGAGAATATTCCCCCTTCAACAGACTTCGAAGGCATGCATATAAAATAAGAATATGTTGCGGAATATTCTTGCAGTCTATGACTTTAGTCTTGGAGCTTGCCTCACAACCAATACAAAGTTTGAACCAGAAAACTATTAACTACATCTATTTACAAAAGAAGAGAGAAGAAAAAACCTTCAAGGAAACCACCATTCGTTGATTGCATTTTGGGCAAGAATAACTAGATGAGCAGCCACATACTATGATTAAAAATTTAAGAAATCCTGTCTTACAAAGTAACACTCATGCATGCACCCCCATAGGCCTCTACACACACTGCACATGCATACATTCTATTCCAAAGTCTTGACAAAACTGATATCCTGAGGCAAATAAAATAAACAGAGTTTAGTTATCTTGTTTTTTTTGTTTTTTTTTTTTTTTTTTTGAATGTTAACGAAGGACCTGGTAAGCATAGAACTCCAGTGTCACGTTGTGGCACCTGCCACCTTACAAGGATTTTCAAACCCAAAGTGCACATACAATTGGTAATATATACAAAAATGAACACGAGAAAACCTCCGTAGTCAAGTTTAAGAATGTTTAAAGCCTACAATAATATCATTTAGTACTCCAGTTATTATGACAACAATAATGGTAGATTGAAAAGATATATCAAGTCGAAATTCACCCACCAATTCACTTGGTGCCCTTGAAACTCCATATATTCCAACAAACATGCGTAAAATATTGAAATTATTTGCCAACACATCATCCTGCACAGAATCAATATCAAAATATTTATGTACAAGGTAATAGTTACATCAAATCATCATCCAAGCCTTATCCCAACTATTTGGGGTCAGCTAACACATAATATGAAAGACTGATAATATTCCAGAAAATTGTTGTTTTTGTCAATACTAAAGGATATTTTAAAATATATGGAATTACTGAAATAAATGGCCGAAAGCATGACTGTTGCAAGTAACTCATGTTTTAGCCATAATCCACATAAAGGTTTCAAATTTTGAAGAATTTCGCCTAGTTATGACAGCCATTTCCCAAAATGGTAATTGTTCTTTCTTTCTAAATGCAGTGGACCATAGAATTCAACTAAATCAACAAAAACTGGGTCCAAGTATCATCAGAACTTGGGTGAGACTTTGAAAGAACTTTTAAGTTTTTCTCACAAATGACCAGACATACAGCAGCTATAAACAAAATTAGATCTATCTTTGTTCTTTAGTGATTTTATCCAGGTTTTACATTTTGAAGTTAAAGATACCATTTCTCGAGCATTTTTTGGCCTGAGTTTGTATTGTACTAAGAAATATGTTCCGGCAGTTCTCTGAAACAATTCTAGAAATAGCAATTTTGGATATCAATTTATATAAAATCATGCAGTAATGCGAGGAAACAAAATTAAATGTGCCCACCTCATAATCGAACCTGCAAAGGACATCCAGCCGCATCGTTGTACATGAATAGCATGCAGGCAGGGGCAAAAATACAGCACATGAATCAGATATCAAGATATGTACGATCATTAGTGCACCAAAAATACAAGTACCTCATAAGAATTAGTTTGTTCCTGGAAGGAGATTCTCAAAATATGAGAATATCAGAACAATATTGCTACCAATGCCCAAAATAATTCAAGTAGAACACTGTTACAACCAGTCTGTTAATCTGAAATACTGAAATAGATAATGCGTTGTATGAATTAAGCTTTTTAAAACTTCGTGTTGACTTGAGAAATCCCAAATTTTGTATTAATATTTTCAAGAACAAAAGAAAATTCATAGGATCCGTTATTCTGAAACATAGTGTTCCATTCTGGGGTCTGATAAAGATGATTTCAGTGCACCTTCTCGAAAAAAAAGAAGATGATTTCAGTGTAGAGTATCATGTGAAATGATGTGCCACGCATGAAAAAAAGGAGACAATAACATCACTTTCATGCATTAAGAGAATCTTCACATACAAAAAAGAGAATCAGGAAAGTGTAATGTCGGTTGCCAGAAGCTCCAAACTTAGCGAGCATCATAGAAGCCCCATACAACATATATTCAAAAATAAATAATGTTTAAAAACAGATAAAACTTTTTAGGATCTAAGGAGTTTGATGCTCGATTTCTCTTTCAAATTTGGTCGAAAGAATAATGTTTTTCCTCCCTTAAAACCCAATAATTATGTTGTGATGCATTTTAAAGGTTCCATAATGGAGCCCACTATAGGTGAGATGGGGCTATTCCTTAATATCATGGAAAGAGTTCCAAAGATAATGGGAAGCTCATTGGGACCACGTTCCTACTCTCAAATCTTGGAACCACACTATGGGAGCAAGAGTTCCGCCTCAGATGGGAGATCCCAATAACTATGGTCCAAAATAAGGTTTTGATCAGCATTTACGATTGACGCTATTATCAACAGCCAACTTCAGAATTATCTATGCAAAACTACTTTTATTTCAAGAACAATAATATTGCGTTAGAAGTCACCACTTCTACAACAATCTACTCCAACTCATTTTGAATTCCATATAGTTCCTCAGTTTCCTTTTAACTCCTATTTTTGCACACCGACTGAAAACCATCTCAAATTTCAGATCTGTCAGAAGCAACCTCCAAGACCAATGCTCAATTTCTTCAAAATATTCACACCCTTATACAAGAATTTTAATAAACAGACCTATATAAGTTGCTAAACTATCATTTGGCTAATTAATTTCTCCCTAAATTTTTTCATTCTCTAACAAGGAACAAATGTTCCTAAATTTCTCCAGCGTTTCTGACATGGTTAAGGATGCACAATAACTACAAAACTACAGAGGTTGGCATCATTTGGGCCTTAGAAGACGTACAAACTACAACGATACTAGCAGTTGCGTTTTAATTTCTAAACCTCCCTACCAGTCAACAAGTTGCCTCAAGAAACTCCAGAAGCAGAAGCCTGAACATCATGCTGTAGATCACATAGCTATTCATGATACACTAAATAATATTAAGCCTTCAGGCATTTGCATGTATTGGCCAAACACAACACAAAACGCATCAAAAAACTGCATGCCGACATTGTGATTAGTCGATAGGACTCTCACTCTTCAACTGCATGTGCGCCAACAATGTTTCAACCCTTTCCAACCGCCTACATGTAACCATTACCACGTGCAACAATTAAAGCAACTGAACCACATCATTCTATTCATGCACTGCAAAGCACAGCTCCCTGGTTCGAAACCAGAGCGCAACTGAATTCCATCGCATTATGTGAAAGCCATCCAACAAGAAGTCAGAACATTCAACCAGGAAATCAAAAACGACCTGTGATGAGTCATTCTCACCATGTTCCACCTTGGCTCAACATATAGTCTTCAGCTCGTCAGGAGTAACAAATCTCCACACTCCAATTCACATAGTACTCTGGTTAATGCATTCTCAATCCACACTACATGTCTTTGCCACGCATATATAAAGACATGTCGTTCTCCTTTTTGAGTATGTCATTTTATCATAACTTAATTGAAAACAGTAACCCTAATATGGCATTGATCTTGCAGAACAAAAGTGAAGCACATAAGCTTGTTGCACAATCACGTACTAATGCAAAACTTACCCTCTCAAGTTGCAGAAATGGCAAAAAAAAGGTAGGAATAACATTCCTGTCCAAATTTCTACTTGGAAACCCAAAGCATCACCAACCCAAAAAAAGAAAAAGAATCACTTCAGCAAGTGATAAAGAACTGAGAATCAACACTAAAATCTGTAACCTAGTGTATAGGTGATACCACATTAGAAATTGGCATGGCATGTTGGAGAATATAGAAGCAACACGAAACATAATAATTGCTTCTCTTCAATGAACAAATGAAAATGACAAGAGAGGAGAATCTGAGGATTCCAGTATTTGTATCATATGCTTGCAATATTTACTTCAAATAACATTAGTCCAAAAAAACCTAGTACACTGTTTAAGAATAGTAAATGGAAATAACATCTTACAGATCATCTGAAACTTCAACCAGGAACTCTGACACTGAGAGGAATTCCATGTGGCTTTCACTGATCTTCCAAAGAGTGCAGAAAATATACGTTAATATTCACAACCATGGATCCAAGAAGCATTTTATGATTCTGAGATCCTAAAGTTCTTCTAGTAAGCTGAATACAAAGACTTAAGTTAAAATTTTGAAACTAAGAATGATAGGAGCAGCATAAATGGTAAATATAACTTTTGACACGATCAGACTGAATAAAGAAATTTTGAACACGTGACTCAATGTGGAGATTCTTATGCAGATGGACAGAAGCATAAGCATTTTCTAGAAGCGGGACTTGGAAAACCCAAAAATTATATTGTTCCTTGTGTTATGAGATAGGTTATCATTTATCTAAAGTGAACATCTCAAGAATATTATGGTGTTTTTATCCTTATGGTAATTTATCCTTTTACCTTGAAGGGTAATTTAGTCATCTGGATAGAGTACTCATATGCAATTATAAGAGCATTCATTATGACATTTACCTCAACCTGTTTCTTACATTCATGTAACCATCAACAAACAGAGGAAATTTGTGTTTAACAATCCTAACAATATCAAAGATCAAACCAACAATTTGGCATACTAGAAGTTCTTGTAGGAAAATATGTCTATGGTTCTCCTTGAATAATTGATACTTCAGTCTCACCAGATGACCTGGTATCAACACATACATATATAAATCAATACATACAAATATGCATCTCCAGCAATATCATTTAGGGCATATCAATGACGAGATGATCAAGAGTTGTTCTAATTCTAGTTAAGTGCATGAGGCCGCATGATTTCTGACCAATGCTGCGCTCATGAGAAAGTCAAGATGCCCTGCAAGGCCTTCTCCAAGCCATAAAGGTTGAAGGGACTGCTAATATTTGTGGAACTCCTAACAATTGGCAAAGGGTGATTCTCTAAGATTTAAGATACCCAAATGCTTGATCAGTGTAACAGTATCAAAACAATATGACAACAACACTAATGTTGGATACTCTAATGATACTTGTAAATATAATGTAATACAAATAAAATTAAAAGCTTTCCCTAGAAATACACAATACGACACCAACACCAACGTTGGATACTCTAATGGTACTTGTAAATAAAATGTAATACAATTTAAATTCAAAGTTTCCCTAGAAATAAAGTATAGAATATTTATGATACTATGATTTATCAGAATTGACAACAGACTCAGTCTCACTCATTGACACTGCAATCAGGCTGCGCCCATTATCTCTTATGAATATGATTCTCTACAAGAAATGGAGAGGTCATGGCATTCAAAGTCACAAAAACCTCGACTTGGGCAAATCTACATCATGTGTATTATTCACTACAGATACAACTAAATGTATAATTAACATCATGCACTTCCACCCAGAGATGGGGCCGTCCTCCTATGACTATCTCATACCGATTTTCTAGGATATAAAAAGCTTGACAGAAGTGCCCACAACCAGCCACGTGTTGCTAGACTGATGACCGAAAGGTTCCAGTTCCTTCCACATTACTGCTGGCAGAACTGGTGCTAGTTCTGAAAATACTAAATCACCACCCCAAGTTTCTCTGCTATTTAATACTCAACAAGCATATGAACAAGAACTCACCAGACAGAGATAACACTGGCCATCGAGAGGACTACTTCCAGGACCTCAACACAAATAGAACCAACAACTCTAAAGGTCAGCTGCATCAAACCATCGAGGGCAACATCCCTCACACCAATCCATCTTCAGATGACCCTATGTGATTTTTCAAGTCCTTGGTGCCAATTATTTAAAATTATTCCCCCATCATCTGGTCTCTATGAGCCTTTTAATTGATGAAAGTTGCTTCTCTATCTGATGTGAGCATAAAAAGAAGTATGTTCACTGAAAATGTGTTAAAACATGACCCTGGTGTGAAATAAAGATAGGAACAGATTGGACAACCAACAAACACTTTCTTAGAGGCTTTTTATATTTCCTTGGAGTACAGTTCCAGGGAACCTTACATGTCATATTAATTTACATTCAACCCAATTTTTAGGTTGAATCATCTGTGATTAATCAAATGCCTCATATTACAGAGTACAATTAGAAAAGTAAGAAAAAGAATATGAGCAGATCCATGCCAGTATACCTCGCCATCCACAGGTTTTTCCTCCTCTCCCATGGTCCTTCAGATAGGTATCTCTCAAGGTTTGGGTATGTTTCTCTTTAATGTATGCTCTCCTCTCTGGCTTCTCTATGCAAGTTGTATTGTTTTCTATGTTATAACTATATTATATTCAGGGATTTTCAAATTCCATCACTTTTTGGTTGGGAACCACTATGTTAAGTCAGCAGCAGGTTATGCTACCCAATGACCCACCACTCAAATCAGCAGTTAGGGGAGACACATGAATGTACATGTCATATCATATATATACTCAAGACATGATGGAAAATCATTTGAAAGTCATAGCATGATCATCAAATAACAATATAGCCCTGAGCATCTTCCTCCATGGTTATGGCATATTGCCTATCTTTAACCATGGTTTGTCCTGTTTAACAAGCTTTTTGCTCATATTTGAGTGGGGTAACAGCTATATAGCTGCCTCACTCATTTAGGCATCAATAATTAGGTGTATTTGAGCCTTATTTTCCCCAAAATTATCCAAAACCAGATATTCTCTAAATTTGGCAAGAAAGCCTTGGGTCCAAAATCAGCAATATTTCACTGCCATTTGAACCTCAGTATATGAGTGGACCTTGATTGGCACCCATTCATCCATTTCAGAGTGTACATCCTGAAAAGTCCAAGATTTCCTTCAAGAAATAGGCCCTGTGCACATTCAACAAACTCGAGGTTATGACCTTTCTGTTTTTACTTGGTCGAAATCCAATCCAACTCACTGGTTTCTCGTGCTGAAAGCTTTTTGGTAATATTGACCATATTTAAGCTGATTTCAGGGGTTCTTACTCTGAAATCGACCCATTGCAGCCTGGAGGCACATTTGCCATGGTTATGGGCTGTTGGGTTGTAATTGAGCCTATCTTTATCTGAAACTTGGAGTGTTCTCCCTCTTAACCATAGACCCCGGGCATATTGACCAAATGGAGGCCATTTCAGAGGGTATCTGGCCCTGTTTGGTATAACAGGCCTCGCATTTTTTGGCCATGGTTAACCTTACTTCAGCTATGGCTAAGTTATGTTAGGTATTTCTTGAGCCCTCTTTAATACAGAAACCACCGAAATGAAGCAAACATCCTTTCTAAACAAACCTCCATGATAAACATATCTTCCAAACCTTCATCTGCCTGCAACTACTATCTCAGGTGTTTCAGCTAAAACCTACTTAACATATAAAGATTAATAAGGGTTTTCCATCCTTTGGAAGCTTTCCACTCTCCAAGATGCAGTAGTTCACCTCTCAAGGTGTCCTCCCTACATTCTTCTTGTCTAAACTACACGCTCTTACTTTGCCAACTCCAAGTAGGATGTTGACTTTGCCTCTCAATTTCCTCCATTTACAGCCATTGTTCGTAGATATCATAAAGAGCTTTCTTTTATCCCTTATGACAAGTCCTCCACGATTTTTTTTCTTCATCTAGCATAGTTTTTCAATACCTTTATTGTGATTTTGCAATATTTTTCTGGAGCATAGAACACTATATATTTAAAATATTCTGTTAATGCAACTCAACACTTCAAGGACATAAAATACCATCACCATTTTGACATTGCCCCACTTAGTAACACCAAGTCAGCTTCTCTTTCAGGAAATCCATAGCATTATTCATGCATATAAAAGCTATTTGTTTAAGAACAATAAAGAACAGAGGGCAATACAGTGGTTAAGTTATGTTGGTTTTGTGGCCTTTAAAGGCCTATAAAGCTTGTAAAAATGATACTTTATAGTGAATATGCACTTCAATGGGAGTGGGTGTGTTGAATAACAATGGGTTGGACGGTTTATAGCCCTGGTGCTGTCCAAAACCCTTACCTCTAGGTATGTGGCACTACTGAGAAGGGTTTACAATAGGTTATCCCTTGTTGAGGTCGGAGAGATGCGCAAGGATGATGTTTATAGACCAGAATAACTGTGTGATATCTTGTGTGCAATCGTAGGCCTATGAGAGTAAGAGCCAAAGCCTCAACAGACTTCCGCACAGTATATGCATATAACAATTGCATTACTAGGAAGCAGTCCTATAAGAGGGACACGTGTTCATATGTATAGAGAGAGACCCCTGTGCACTGTGGTGACAAGTGCTAGACTTGCTCTTAAAAGGAGGGACAGAAATCCACATTTTGGGATCATGGTTCCATTGTTTATTGTCCAACTTTGACAAGTCAATCATGAGCTCTTGCATTGAGACTGTGTGATGGGTCTTTGTTGGGTCGGATAAAAAAACAGTAGTGGATCATTGTTCTTAGTTCAAGTGGAGTGCCCTTATTGTCACTAATTTTGACCCATTGATACCATTCCGCTTCTAAAATATTTTATTTTGGAAATAGTAATATATTTCTGACTTCTATAAAAATTTTAAAATTTTGTTTATGCAGTAAAATTCATTAAAAAGATAGTTTTGAAATTTTCAAAACTTGGAAGGGCACATGTGGGGAGCAAGGATCCAGCCCCCATGTGTGTGCCACCCATGTGTGGGACATGTGGCCTTGTGGGGGCCACATAATGTCTCCAGCGTGGCATGCCCCACTTTTTTTTTTTATATGTTATCTTTTAGTTAACAAAAACGTTTACATAAGGTTGCAACCTTAAAATGTAGAATTAACCTCAAAAATCCATCATAAAAGGTTGTTTTGATTTTGGAAATCCCTCTAATTGATCATCTCGATATCAATATGTATGAATATGAAAAGAAAAAAAGATTTTCATGTCCAAAAAATTATATATCTTGCAATACATTATCTAGACCGTTCATTTTCAAGATTTTCAAGTGTTTATAGATCTACTTTATACCAAAATTATATTTATGATAAAATTTGGAGGTGTGCCTAAATTTGATTGTTTAAGGTTGCAACCTTATACAAACCACACC